TGTGCCCCCTAAGCTAGCCTGCTGCCCTCATGTGTCATGAAGGATTCCATCCCATCTCCAGTCTTGAACTAAGACTTATAATGCCAGCCTTGTCAGCATCTGTTTGTACAATAGGATCAGGGTGCTTGGTGCCATCTTGTCCTTTGGCTCAAGCAGCTAAATGTGTTGGGCTGGCCATGCTATCATGTGACAAAGACACATGAGAGCAGAAGCAGCAAAGCAGGCTGGGAAGTGCTGGGACTGCACAATCATTTGGACCTAGTAAAGTTTTTCAGGCCTAACTGCTAACTGTTGAGTCACTCTGACACGTGACTTAGCAGCCAGTTTCACTTTGTGTTCTCTGTAAGATGTCAGTTAGAGTCAGTCTGTTTCAGATGTGAACAGAGTCAGTATGTAATCTCAATCGAACTGTTTGGAACCATGTTGTTTATGAAGAAGTTTATTTTAACTAAGTAAAGCTTTTATTCTTTAAAAACTCTGCATTATTAATTTACGCTGCACATCACATGCTGACTGAAATGGCACACGCACACACAATTAGGGTCAACGCATGTACAGTGGTACCTCGGGTTAAGAACTTAATTCGTTCTGGAGGTCTGTTCTTAACCTGAAACTGTTCTTAACCTGAAGCACCACTTTAGCTAATGGGGCCTCCTGCTGCTGCCTCGCCACTGGAGCACGATTTCTGTTCTCATCCTGAAGCAAAGTTCTTAACCCGAGGTAATATTTCTGAGATAGCAGAGTCTGTAACCTGAAGCATGTGTAACCTGAAGCATGTGTAACCTGAGGTACCACTGTACAGAAACCTAAAATTCCCATGCATGCGCAGGGCATCCAAGGTTTTGCAGCATCGGTGTGAATCTGGAGGCTGCAACCTGTACAATATAGCAACCACCACCACATTTTAAAAACAACAACAGCAACAACAACCCAGTGGATTATATTGCTTTGACTTGACAATCAACTGGATAGTTAATGGACTCTGTCATTGTCAGGACCTTAAATGAAAGCAATAGCAAGCTAGATCTCAGGATGAAAAGACTTCTAGTTCCTGGTTCATTGCTGCGGTACCAAGATGTTTTATACCCCGTAGCCTGCTGTGTAATTCATTGTGCGATTCCTAGCATAATTTAATGAAAGCTATAATTATTGCCTTGCTGTGTTGAGGACCGACAGTTTAGCAGGATAAATATATTGTGTACGTATACGGAGTTAACAAATCTTATGCTTTATGATCAGCTGAGGCATGTTATGTAACTTACTCCAAGGTTTGGTGGCATTCCAAGATGAACTTTTGCCATTTATTTGGAAACAGTCTCGGAATAAATTGCCACCACGTCTATAAAATGTACATAGGGGTTCTGTCAGGAAATAAACCATCCAAATTAAACTTCAGAAGGAACACTAGCTAGTCATTTTACGTACATCTGTATTTCATGTTTGTTTGTTTTTAATAAATAAATAAAGTTGAAGAAAGTGGTGGCAGGTTGTAGAAGTGGTCATGCTGAGAGCCAGGACAAGCAGAGAAAAACAGAGAGATTGTATTTAAGGGTAAGCTAGAGAGCCCACTTTTATGTGTGTCTGAATGAATGAACTTTATTACGGTCACAGACCAGGATAAAAAAACAACAACATATAAATAAAATAGCAGTTAGGATTTTTTTTTAAGGACAAAGGAAAAAGCATAGGATAAAACATCTGAATAAAATACAAGATAGTTGATGACTATCACAACAATAGCTTTCTACTTCCATCATCAACATTTTGGAATATTTCTTCCTCCTGGTGAACATGAAATCTTGCTACAATCTCACACCCTACCATCACGACCCCATGTTTATGAAACAGTGAGTGAAATCAGGTTCTTCAGGTCAGCTTTCTTTCCAAAGCTGCAAAGCAGGAGGAGTGAATGGAAGGTAACTGCACTTCAAGCCAATCTCTGTTATTTGGGATAGTGAGGATGTAAAAAGGTAAAGGACCCCTGGACGGTTAAGTCCAGTCAAAGGCGACTATGGGGTTGCTGCGCTCATCTCGCTTTCAGGCTGAGGGAGTTGGCATTTGTCCACAGACAGCTTTCCGGGTCATGTGGCCAGCAAGACTAAACCGCTTCTGGCGCAACGGGACACCGTGATGGAAACCAGAGCACACAGAAATGCCATTTACCTTCCCGCCGCAGTGGTACCTATTTATCTACTTGCACTGGTGTGCTTTCAAACTGCTAGGTTGGCAGGAGCTGGGACAGAGCAACGGGAGCTCACCCCGTCACGGGGATTCGAACCGCAGGCCTTCCTAATCGGCAAGACCAAGAGGCTCAGTGTTTTAGACCACAGCGCCACCCGCAACCAATGAAGCAAATGTTACCAGTAACAGCTACCAGTAATTGCATGTGCAAAACAACAGTGGTAGGCAAGCAGATGGGGTCACCTGACAACCTGAGGGCAACTGAAATGGAGTACAGTCATACCTCTTGTTACGTTCGGTTGAGGTTACGTCATTTCAGGTTGCGTCCCGCAGCGACCCGGAAGTCCCGGAAAGGGTTACGTCTGGGTTTCACTGCTCGCACATGTGCAGATGCTCAAAATGATATCATGCACATGTGCAGAAGCTGTGAATTGCGACCCGCACATGTGCAAATGCGCAGACGCGGGTTGCGTTCTGCTCATGCTGCAAACGGGGCTCCGGAACAGATCCCATTCGCAACCAGAGGTACCACTGTACACACCACACATTTAAAGCATATTTCCCTACTACCCCAAGAATCCTGAAAACAGTAGTTTAGCCATCAAACACCCCCACCCAATCCATGGACTCTTTCTCTCGCCTGCCCTGACTGAACTGCTTGGTTTTTTTCCTACCCCCCAATCCATGGACTCTTTTCATGTGTGTGTATGTAAAATTTTTATTAAATTTTCTGTTTTACAATTTAGAATATTCATTTATACAACCTTAAAATATCAATGACTTTCCTTCTTCTCTTTCCATGATTCACTTTACATAGCATAAATTCCTACATATTTTATATAAACTAAACCATTCAGTATTCCATTATTACTTCCATCAAAAATTATCTATACTGTTGAATTTATCTGAATGCTGCCAATGTTTTCAAGTGTACACGATTTCCCCCCATATATTCAATAAACATTGCGAAAAAACAGAAACAAAACAAAAGAAAAATATGAGCAATAAACAATGACAAAACCTCAAAAACAAAAATAAATACAGAAATACAAAACATCAACAATACAAAAAGAAAACAAAGAAAACAAAAGCATTAAAAAGGAAAAGAAAAACCCAAAAAAGAACAAACATACAAAAGAACCACATATTTTCATATCCTTATCTTTCATTTGCTTATTTCCTCGACTTCCTCACACCTCCTTTTTTGTATTCTAGTTCAATTAAAATATTTAATTGAACTACAGGTCCACCACATATGAAAGAACATACCCTCAACCTCATTGCATCTCTGTGGCCTTACCTTGGCCGGCTCTCTGCAACTAGTCCTGGGGCTTCTAGCAGCCCACTCTTCCTTCTCATGGCCTGTTCTTAGGGCTTACTCAGCCTTGCTACAGCTGCTGAAAGTGGTATATCTGTATCCAGAAGTGTGCGGTAGAGCCTATGGCAGAAGCCACCCTGGCTGTCCTAGAGAAGGCAGAGGCGAGGTGGTGAAAGCAGGACATCACAGACATCAAACAGAAGCTAGGTGTGCTGGTCCCGGGGGGGGGTTACCGTGCAGCGTGGTCCACGTCCAGGCCGAGGCTGAAGCGGGGTCCAAGGCAGGGAGTCAGGCGTGGTCAGGAACTCTGGCAGAAAGCAGGACAGGAACCCGCCAGGAACAGGTGACCAACAATGTTGCTCCCGCAACCTGGGATTGGACGGGCTGGCCTTTATCTCCTCTGAGGCATAGGGCGGCCCTGGTCCACAGGTGACTCACCTCTCCTGGCCTGGAGGTGAGCACTCCTTCTGCGGGAACTTAGTTCCCTCCGCCTCTCTGCCCCGAGCCTCTGCAGCTCAGGAGAGGCTGGACCCAGAGGCAACCTCACCTTCCCCTGACAGGGCTGGGAGAGGAGCACCTGCAGGTGATGGGTCCTTGATCACCTCTGGAGCCACAGCGGATTCAGCTGGTGTCTGCTCCTGAGGATCCGGCACAGGGGCGGGCCCTTCAGGTTCAAGCCCCTGCCCTGGCTTAGCAGGCCCTGGAGGCGGGGACTCCTGTGCAGGCTGGGATTCCTCAGGTTCAGCCTCTGAATCAGATTCCCAGGCCATCACACTGGGGCAGTTTTTGTGAATACTTGATGTCCTGCTTAATTCGGGACAGTTGAGTTGTGTGGGTTCGTAAAACCTAGTCATGGTATAGATTCGTATTTTAATGATTCAGCATTTTGTGCTACAAGGAATGCCCATAGTGCTCGACACTTTCAAATTCTACTTTCCCGTTATTGGGAGGGAAAATGCATTTTTTAACATTCTTTTAAGAAATGTCTGTGTGTCTGAGCTCGACAGTGTGCGGAGGATGTTGCAGATTGCTTTTATAGCCCTGTCTATTACATAAATCCCCAAGAGAAAGACTTATTTCCATTATCCTGTCCAGAATTATGCCTAGGAATTAATTTGGGAAAAAATATGTCAAGTGTTAGCTAGCAAAGACAAACAACTATTACATAAGGCAATGTTACATGCATTTGCTGCTCTGACAAATTAGATTTTTAAAAAGTTAAATACAGTCTCTTTCTGCAAAAACCACATGGTTTGGATTTCTGTACCAGGAGTTTTTTCTAAGCTATAGTTATTTATTTCTGAAAAATTGCTATTTATAAAGCAAGTTTAAATCATGTAAGGAAATATGGCAGCCATGATTGCAGACCATTTGCCCCATGTAAATTTAGATTTGAGCTCTTGTTTTTCCTTTTTGACTGTATCAGGTTGGGATTCTTTCTATTATTTTATCTCTCTTTACTGGGATTGTGTTTTATGTTGCAACGACTCATGATTTTAAACAAGTGACTTTTTTAATGGAGCAGAGTGAACAATAGTTAAATAATACACTGGTATTCTCTAGTTCATTGTTTAATTACAGCTTGATGGACTTACAATACTGGCTATATTTTGAAACAAGATCAGCCGCAATACTATAGCATTAATCCACAGGAAAAGCCTTCAGTATGTTCCATCTAATTATTCATCTCCTGACATTTACATTTTCAAATGTCTTCCTAAGAACACTCCGTGCTTTGGCCTGCAGATGAAATTATTGCGCACTTCTTACTTCAAACACACATGCTGCTCTTCAAGTTGATGGCTTCTGATAAAGATCATACAAAAGCCAAAAGCGTGGGTGATCTTATAGATTCTGTCTGACTCAAGTCCCATTCTGTCCAGAGTGGTGCTTCTATTTTGGTATCCTAGGGGCTCCTAAAATGCCACCATATGGGAGTCATTGTCCAGAATGCTTGAGCGTTTTCAAGAGAGGATGCGAGGAAGGTGGAAGCCCATGTCAAGAAATAAAGGAACTAAGGACTCAGAGACTTTATGCTGTAAGAAACAGAACAGGTAAAACTGCTGTCCATGGAGGCGCAGGTCAATTCTGTATCCAGGGTAGCTGTCTACCAGCTCCATCTGGTACATAGGCTGAGACCCTACCTTCCCACCAACTGTCTCACCAGAGTGGTGCATGCTCTGGTTATCTCCCACTTGGACTACTGCAATGCGCTCTATGTGGGGCTACCTTTGAAGGTGACCCAGAAACTACAACTAATCCAGAATGCGGCAGCCAGACTGGTGACTGGGAGCAGCCGCTGAGACCAATGTTAATACATTATTCTGATTTATTAACTAGTACACAGAGAAATATACATATATATGAAATAGAAATATGCAGTCAAGATCCTTAATCTTTCTGAAGGAATCCACCTAAACCTAACAGTTACCAACTCAAACATAGGAGCCAACTCCCAGAGGCCGAGGGGGTCTTCAGACTCCCCAATACATTTTTTGGGGGGGGGAGAGAGTCCCCTAAGTTGTTCAACTTTGCCATTCAAATGGTGTGTGTACACAGCATCATGTGATCAATCATCGCATTTTTCACTCTATAAGACGCACAAGACCATAAGACGCACCTAGTTTTTGGAGGAGGAAAACAAGAAAAATAATATTCTGGCTTCTGAGATAGCTGCGCAGCCTGCCATCGCTCCATAAGATGCACATACATTTCCCCTTACTTTTTAGGAGGGAAAAAGTGAGTCTTATAGAGCAAAAAATACAGTATGTGGGGCAGGGCTTACCTAGCCCCCTCAATATTTTATTCAAGTTGGCACACCTGAACTCAAACATTCTTTCCCAGTTGTTAGCATTGTTATATTTGAAATATTCTACTATTTAGAATGAGAATAACTTGAGAGTGTTCAAAGCAAATCCTTTTAGTATTTTTTTAATCCCAATAATGTAGATTTGAGTGTGTGAGAGAGATAATAGCGTTCTTAAAGTCACCTACTGTCAGGGGCTGGGCAGAGAAGGAGGAATGGTGGAGACCTCCTCCCCATCCTGACCCTTCCAGGGAGAAGGGAGAAGAAGACAATATAGATTTACAACAGGGGGTTGCGGGAGGTCACAGCTCAGAGGCAGATGAGAGGGGAAATTGGGGAATAATGGGAGAGGAAGATTAGAAAGCATTCCAGACCCTCCATCTCCCAGAACCCGGCGAGCCATAAAAGTAGGAGAGCAAAGAGCTCGAAGACTTCTTTTTTGTGGAACAGGAATTCAATAATATGAAGCACCCATCATTCCTATGCTGGACCACAAATCTATCTTCCTAGCCCCCTCACTTGTAAAGCTTAGATCCTCACCATACTCCTCCAAATATTATTTCTGGTTCCTTATCTTTTCCTTCGTTATTTTTTCAAATACAGAGAAAAAGCTGCTATAGAGTGGATAAAGGAAATGTGGTTGTATGAATCAGTCCCAAAGTCACACATATAGTTGATTATTTGATGGGTACAGGGCTGTGAATGTATATCTATTGGCCTCAACTTGATGGGGCACAAGCTGGCAAACCAATCTAAAACTTTCCCCTAATAGTAAAAGTTAATATATCCCCCAAATATTCATCACCTATTATGGAGTTCCATCTTGACAGGGCTGAGATGCAGTCTGACTGTTAACTGTTTCTGGCTTTACCAAGACTTAAAGCATATCCCCTTTGTGACATCATACATGACATCAGAATGGCATGTTTGTATTCAACCTCCTAGACTATCTCCAGGCCAACAGCAATGGCCAGTAAACTTCTGCAGCCAAGTAACCATCAGTTTGCTAAGTACATATAAAATTGGCTTATCAATCATTAAATGGAAGGAGAGACCCTGGTTTTAGATATGGAAACAGTGTGTGTGTGTGTGTGTGTGTGTGTGTGTGTGTGTGTTTGTGTGGGGGGGCATGCATGCTCCATAATTGTGAATGGATTTGAGAATGTCACAGAGCTGGCAACACTGATCATTCCTTATCTGAGGCAAAAGTCAACGTTGGATGATAATGTATCAACACAATTTGAAATTGTTCTTTCCCCCAAGGCATTTTAAGGTTGGATTTTTTTGTCCACAGGGAAGGTGAAAACTAGGAGAATCAAAATGAATATAAAGTTCACTTTCCTTATAAACCTCATGGCCAGCAGGCATAAGAAACAATCATTTGGAGAAAGGACATGTTATAAAAAGCAAACTGCAGATAAATGAGAATCAAACTACCATGGATATGGTGTTTTTTTCCATCGTAATTTCTCTATAGCTTGGTGGCCAATAAGGAAGTAGGAGGCTTGCCTGAAATAATAACTAAATGCACAAAAAGAAATCTAAAGCAAAGCATAACAATACAAGTTTTAATTCTTCCATGGTGCACAGATTAAAACCTCATTTAAATGTCACTTTGCTGCCGTTCCTTCTCCTACTAACTACACTATGCTTTTCCATTCCATTAACCTTTCAAAAATATTTTCTCTTCTCTATTTAGGGGTAGGAAAGAGCACATAGAAAGATTTCAGTGCTGCTCAGCTTGCAGACGTATTGTCCTGTCACAACTACATTGCATCATTATGAAATTTGCAGATTATGAAAAATGTGGCAAATCTGTGATCAGAGATCCCTTGTGCAGAGGTCTAAATACTGTTCAAAGAAGGATATGGTAGCATAAAGAGAAGCAGCTGGAATCCTACGGACCAGATGGGTTTTTGATGAATATTTTTTTTTTGGTCAAGGTAAATTAAAAGGCAGAATTACCAACCACACTAGAAATTAAGGGCACAATGGTTATGGTTTGAAGATTACATGAACAAACACTGCTCTAAAGATAACATGCTGATATGTTTAGACTAAGCTTGTAAGGATGACCTGGTGTTATATTATAATAGTACCATAAAAGAAGTAATTACAGTGATAAATGATATGCAATGTAAATAAGAATTTAAATGATTTAAAGATGATGAGAGCTGGTGGAAGGAAGTCACACAGGTGTGGTATTTTATGTTCCTTTTGTCCTTACTTTTTCGGTTTATTTTGTGGTTAAGTGTGTGTATCTTATTGTTTTGTTTGTTTGTAAATAAAACGTTTAATAATAATAATAATAAGGCAGAATTTTGCTTCGGCGTTTCAAACTTTTCTTTCAAAACCTGTTGTTTGCAGGTTGTGATTTGCAAGACAGTTTCCATCACATCATCTATATCTTCAGTAAAAAACAACAACCCCAACTTTAGTGAAGAGAGTATTTTTATTTATTTATTTATTTATACCCTGTCCATCTGGCTGGGTTTACCCAGCCACTATGGGTGGCTCCCAACAGAATATTAGGTAAAGATAAAGGTACCCCTGCCCGTACGGGCCAGTCTTGACAGACTCTAGGGTTGTGCGCTCATCTCACTCTAGAGGCCGGGAGCCAGCGCTGTCCGCGGACACTTCCGGGTCACGTGGCCAGCGTGACAAGCTGCATCTGGTGAGCCAGCGCAGCACACAGAACGCCGTTTACCTTCCCGCTAGTAAGCGGTCCCTATTTATCTACTTGCACCCGGGGGTGCTTTCGAACTGCTAGGTTGGCAGGCGCTGGGACCGAACAACGGGAGCGCACCCCGCCGCGGGGATTCGAACCACCGACCTTTCGATCGGCAAGTCCTAGGCGCTGAGGCTTTTACCCACAGCACCACCCGGGTCCCTAACAGAATATTAAAAGCACGATAAAACATCAAATATTAAAAACTTCCCTAAACAGGGCTGCCTTCAGATCGTTGTTTATTTCCTTGGCATCTGATGGGAGGGCGTTCTACAGGGCAGGCGCCACCACTGAGAAGGTCTTCTGCCTGGTTCCTCTAACCTCATTTCTTGCAGTGAGGGAACTGCCAGAAGGCCCTCAGAGCTGGACCTCAGTGTCTGGGCTGAATGATGGGGGTGGAAACTCTCCTTCAGAATATGTTGTGGGGACACAGTTGTTGTTTTTTTCTGGTCTGACATAGATTTTGATTGCAGTTATGACAAACTCATGACCTAGTCTTCACATGCAGCAGCAAGACGTGGCAGCGTAGACTGTGCCATTTCAGGTTGCAGAGACAGTGGTGCTATGCTTTAATGTTCCTGCACGGGAAAAGCCTCCTTGCAGGTAACCCCCCACCCCAGTAGTTCACAGAGAAAGGTTTTAGATGAGCCCACATTTTGCTGCCCAATTTCAAGAAGCTTACTCTAACACAGAGGAGCTTTCAAAACTGAGTCTTCCCACCCATTTTTCTACCATACCATTCCCACCTAATTCTCTCACATGTGCAGGCCACACCTGGGCTTATGAGAGGTGTGTTTGTATTTGAAGGCAGAAATGATGCTAATAGGAATAAGTTGGTACTTACGATGCAATAGGTACACAGAATTATCGGCTGTGTATTTAGCATCAAAACAATAACAGGAGAACGCCTCATGGTGCCATTAGAGTTCTCTGTGTCGCCTCTAAGAGGGTTAATTATGAGAAGAGTGCTTATAAGTCTAGTACTTATAAATCACTCACCCACTAATTTAGTGACTGGGTTTTTTTGCACACAATTTCTTTGCTTTTGAGATTTCATGATTTTGTGTGCCATTTGCTGTTTGCTGAAGCAAACAGCAGCCTATTTAACCAGAACAGCTGAAGAGTTTGCGTATTCTTGAAATATGCCTGATACAGAGTCCCCTTCTTACAAGGGGTAAGCCATTTCATCCCAACAGACCTTATGTTTTAGGTCAGTTTGAACAAAATTCACCTCTGCCGTTAACTCAGTAGGTGTCAGGATGCTGTCAACAGCTCCTGGCTGGTTGCCAAGGAAAGTATAAAGGCAAATTTTCTTATAGTCCTTTATTCAGGGGCGGAGCTACCTGCCCCGGCACCTGGCGCAGTATGGGGGCAGGGCTAGCTGGCCCGCAGGGGCAGAGCTAGCTGCCTGCATGGCGAGCATCCTTAGCTGACGACCGCCCGCGTGGTGAACATGGGGGGGCGCCGTTTGCCGCCCTTGCGGAGAACTTCCCTACCCATTTGCTGCCTGCGCAGCGAGCGTCGGGGGGGTGCCATTAACTGCCCGTGGCAGCATCATCCCTAGCGGCCCACCACCCGTGCAGTGAGTGCCTAGGAGCGCCGCCCTCGCAGTGAGTGGGGGTGGGTGGTGTGGCGATGTCACCCACCCTCATGGCCGACACCTGCTGTCCACCGCACCCCCCACACCCACCTTCCTCCGTCAGTGCCTTTATTATCTCAGACGTTGCAGAGAGAGGCTATAGAACCCAGATAATGGCATTGTCCCGAGTGAATCTCTACCAACCCTGTATCTCCCACTTGAAGGTAGGTAGTTTGAATAGCTATTGCTCTCTGCTCCCTGCTGTCAGGATGCTGTCAGTGGCTCCTGGCTGGTTGCCCAGAATAGTATAAAGACAAGTAAAAGTTTCATACAGTCTTTTTTTATTTCAAACTTTACAGAGAGAGGCTATAGAACCCAGCATCTTGGATAATGGTGTTGTCCAGAGTGAATCTCCACCATCTGTCTCTCCCACTTCCTCATTCGTCATTCTCATCACCTCCTCTACGGGTGCTGCTCTGTGCCCTCTGTCTTTGAGCTCTTTGCTCTCCTACTTTTAAGGATCGCTAGGTTCTGGGAGATGGAGGGTCTGGAATGCTTTCTAATGACAACGTGTCAGCCAGCTGCTGCTCTGCCTGCTCCTCCTCTCCCATTATTCCCCAATTTCACCCCTCATCTGCCTCTGAGTTGCTACCTCCCGCAAACCCCTGTTGTAAATCTATACTGTCTTCCTCTTCCTCCTCCCTGGAAGGGTCAGGATGGGGAGGAGGTCTCCACCATTCCTCCTCTATCCAGTTCCTGACAATTAGTTTTCTTTACCAATGGAAGCAGGTTTTCAGATTACATGCAGCTCTTTTTCAGGCTTTGATTATGAGAGCAAAAAATAAACATCCAATAGTCTAGATAGAAACAACTGGGTAGCCAGGCTGATGGTTTCTTGGCTGCAGAAGTTTACTGGCCATTGCTGTTGGTCTGGAGATAGTCTAGGTTGAATGCAAACATGCTATTCTGATGTCATGTGTGATGTCACAAAGGGGATCTGCTTTAAGTCTTGGTAAAGCCAGAAACAGTTAACAGAAACAGAGGGCCTTCTGGCAGTTCCCTCCCTGTGAGAAGTGAGGTTACAGGGAACCAGGCAGAGGGCCTTTTCGGTAGTGGCGACCACCCTGTGGAACACCCTCCCACCAGATGTCAAAGAGATAAACAACTACCAGACTAATAATAATAATAATAATAAATAAAAATAAAAATTATTTATACCCTGCCCTTCTTGGTTCAAAGGGCTCAGGGCGGCTAACAACAAATTTAAAACACTTAATTATAAAAGCAGCATAAAATCAGTATAAAAACATAAATAAAACATAAACCTTCTGAAGGCAGCCCTATTTAGGGAAGTTTTTAATGTTTAATGGACTATTGTATTTTAATATTCTGTTGGGAGCCGCCCAGAGTGGCTGGGGAAAGTCAGCCGGATGGGCGGAGTATAAATAATAAATTATTACTACTACTACTACTACTACTACTACTACTCATAACAAACAACAGTCCCCAGGAGACACTTTGGAGGAAGCCATGACTGTCTAAAGTGGTATCATAGTGCATTAAATGCATAGCGCAGATG